TGAATGTTGGTGTAGATGTTTCAGAAGAAAGGAACCAAAATAGTCCTACCCAGATGACCCCTCAAGAACTAAAAGGTTTTACTTTATATTTTATGAGGAAATTTGAGACTTAAAGGTAGTTAGGTAGAAGCGGGCTGAGTCTATCTGTTAATAAATTTTCAACTACAAAATCATTTGAATAAAATTTTTATATTATAATGAAAACACGGATACCGGGTAGATACATAAATAACAGCAGACACATATGTATATGTGCTTCGTTTACTTTATGGACATTCTCAACCCGAAACGGGTTTTTAGATTTTAGATATTCAAATGTAATATACGTAGTACATATATATAATTACTACCCTATTATTAGGTACTAGTAATAATTAAACAAAGCGGAGTTTGAATATAAAGAACTTGGGAACTACACTAATGCTATATACTATACTATAGTTTTATCATTTTTTAAGATTTGCCTAGGAAAGATTGAAATTAATTACATAAGTAACTCATTTTGAAAATGTTAAGCAAATAATTATGTATATGAGATATAAAAATTATACTTGACTTGACTTCTGTATAGTTCAAAATTTTTCTTTATCTTATAGTCGTTGAACATTTCAATCAAAAATTCCATCGCGTGGTAAAAGAAATAAAATTAGCATATTATATTACTGCTGACAACCTCCTAACTCTTATTCATGTCTGTAAAGTCCCATTAGCCCGTTCAGATAGAAAGGTAATTTTTTATTAAGAGTCTTTTAATAGAAATGGTAAAAAACTATGAAGGTAATTTACCTGCAGCAATTAAACAAGGGTACACTTCTCTGATAGTTGTTCCACTCGTTGTACCAATCATACTTCTCACTCTGTATAGTCCTAGTTTCTTATTAAATATCCCGGTCCTTTTTAATCTATTTCTCATATAAATAGCGCATAAAGCAATTACATTTTTATATTAATGTTATGGGTATATTCTAATATGCCCTTTGAAATTTTCTATAATACTGATAAAAGAAGAAAATTACTAATTTTTGTACTCTTTTTATTTCAGATTAGTAGCTAAATTGGAAGAAAAGGCACCAGATCAAGTAGATGTTTTTAAAACAAACATGAATAAAGTAATGAAAGATATTTTGGGAAGGTTTAAGGATTTGCAGTTCTTTACAGGAGAATCTATGGATGTTGATGGGATGGTAGCTCTTTTAGAATATCGTGAAATTGATGGTGAATCTGTCCCTGTATTGATGTTTTTTAAACATGGATTAGAAGAAGAAAAATTCTAGAACATTTTTAAAATTTAATCA